AACTTCACAATACATCCGAACATTACAACCATCTCTGTCCTTTTTTTCATTTGAAATCTGTCATCTTTTCTCTATATTTCTTTCACATTCTTATTATGGTTTAAATAAAGACTGCTCTTTATTAGTCTTAAGGCAATCAGTGTTCTGTTTTAGTAAATTCTGTTACTGTGTTAATGTTAATACTTTGATCATTTAAAAACAATATAAGTTAGACATGCATACGTTTTTACAATGAATGGAATTTGTTCGCTCGACATATTTAGAACAGAATGTGTAGTATGTGTTGCTTTTGATGCTAGAAGGTAGTAGATTTATTATTTTTTATCTTAGTCATTGTTTTAAAGAATATTTAACTGCTTGGTTATGAACAAATTGATATGAAAGTAATAAAATTATGTTTTAAATAGGGATAAACAATGTAACTTTCATGGATCATTGCATATTGTACATTCATAGCCAAGGGGTTAATAACTGGTTGCAGGCACTCATTCAGAGGGTAGTTTGTATGCACTTGATGTTAGATAGAATATTAAAAAAAAAAAAAAAAATCTTTGCTTTGAGTAAAGTGATAAGTTCTGGTTACAGTGTGGTGATTATTAAGGACAGACTTTAATCCTTATTTTAAATCTTTGGTATGCAGGTAGGAGAATTATGAAACTTGTGTTCATTTGTCTATGCCACATACTTATAAACTGCAAATGTTAGATAAAAATGATCATGTTGTGAAAGAAATCTTGCAGCTTTCTTCTTTGTGCATTAAATTTTATTTATTATGTTGCAGGTGTATTTAACGTGAAGAATCTATGCACGATACAGCTCTAGGGATGATTTATGATTGTTGATTATAGCAGAAGTACAGTATTATCATCATGCATTGTATATTGTCAAATGTACAGATACATTTACAAAAAAATGTAGGAAAAAAAGAAAGAAAAAGAAAAGAAAACTGATCATTCAATATTTTTACAGGCCTCAACCATCTACATCCACATTTTTGTATTCCTTGGATGCATGATTGGGCTTACATTGTTTGTTGGTGTTGTGATTGCCAATTATTCTGAGAACAAAGGAACAGCTCTTCTCACAGTAGACCAACGAAGGTGGTAAGTTGGCTCAGTATGTGGTTATATCTTTTTCTGTCTCTCATATGCTTTCAAAGTTCATTTAGATTTAGCAGTGATATTAAACCAATTTATTTGGATGTGCACTAATACAGGACCATTTTGTGTTAGTAGGAAGATCACAAAAAACACACAGCTGTTATCTTATTAAAATATTAATGATATATTTATTATCATTGTCTATATGACTATGAATCAGATAAGTACTTTTAGTAATTTGCATTTGCAGGTGTGACCTAAAGAAAAGATTAAAGATTGCTCAACCCTTACATCTACCACCCCGACCAGATGGCAGAGCATTTCGGGCATCTATATATGACATTACCCAGAACATATACTTCAAACGCTTTGTTGCAATATCTGTAATCTTTAACAGCTGTTTACTATGTGTTGCTGTAAGTATTATTGTTATTTTGTTAAAGTGAATGATTATATTAGAATCAGATTATGGATATACTTGCTCAAAGGCTGTGAACAAATGTTCATTTGACATTTACAGGATGATTTTTACAGTATACAGACTCTACTTTGGATACATCTATGGTGATTGAACTTGTGTAAACAATATTATAAGTCCACTTAAATTTCTTATATCTGTTTTCTTCTTCAGTGGAAGAATGATGCAGCTCAAACACAATACCTGGCAATTTTGTCATCACTGCTAAACTTTGTATTTGTGGTGGAAGTTGTGATGAAACTTATAGCCTTTACACCCCGTGGATATTGGCAAAGCAGACGGAATCGTTATGATTTGTTTGTCACTGTTCTTGGTGTTGTATGGATTATCTTAAATTTTACAATTCGTGTAAGTTCTTCATCTTATATTTTATGATAAAAGTTTATGTGCAAATATGAAAAAAATATAAATTATTATATAAGCAAGTATCAGCATTGATATATTATTTCAAAAACATTTTGTATAAAACTAAGCATTATTTATTTATATATATAGTTTACTGTTATAAATATTTTTTTCAGACGGATGAATCACACATGTTTGGATTCATGGTGATCATTCTCAGATTCTTCACAATTACTGGCAAACATGCAACTCTGAAAATGCTAATGTTAACAGTAGGTGTATCTGTCTACAAAAGTTTCTTCATTATCATGGGGATGTTCCTTCTTATTCTATCTTATGCCTTGGCTGGATGCATCTTGTTTGGTACTGTCAAGTATGGAGAAGGCATTGGCAGGTAAGACCAAAAAACTGGCAAAGTTTATGTTTCTGTCATGTGGTATAAGAATTTCATGCACTGTTCACAATTCTGCAGCACTTAGTTAAACTACTGGTAATCTACTCACAAACAGGCAAGCCAACTTCCAGACAGCAACCAATGGCATCACATTACTGTTTCGCATTGTTACCGGAGAGGACTGGAACAAGATTATGCATGACTGTATGGTTGCACCTCCATTTTGCACTGAAGGGCTTAATTACTGGGATACTGACTGTGGTAACTTTACTGGCTCCCTCATCTTCGTGATATACTTGCTCAAAGGCTGTGAACAAATGTTCATTTGACATTTACAGGATGATTTTTACAGTATACAGACTCTACTTTGGATACATCTATGGTGATTGAACTTGTGTAAACAATATTATAAGTCCACTTAAATTTCTTATATCTGTTTTCTTCTTCAGTGGAAGAATGATGCAGCTCAAACACAATACCTGGCAATTTTGTCATCACTGCTAAACTTTGTATTTGTGGTGGAAGTTGTGATGAAACTTATAGCCTTTACACCCCGTGGATATTGGCAAAGCAGACGGAATCGTTATGATTTGTTTGTCACTGTTCTTGGTGTTGTATGGATTATCTTAAATTTTACAATTCGTGTAAGTTCTTCATCTTATATTTTATGATAAAAGTTTATGTGCAAATAAGAAAAAAATATAAATTATTATATAAGCAAGTATCAGCATTGATATATTATTTCAAAAACATTTTGTATAAAACTAAGCATTATTTATTTATATATATAATTTACTGTTATAAATATTTTTTTCAGACGGATGAATCACACATGTTTGGATTCATGGTGATCATTCTCAGATTCTTCACAATTACTGGCAAACATGCAACTCTGAAAATGCTAATGTTAACAGTAGGTGTATCTGTCTACAAAAGTTTCTTCATTATCATGGGGATGTTCCTTCTTATTCTATCTTATGCCTTGGCTGGATGCATCTTGTTTGGTACTGTCAAGTATGGAGAAGGCATTGGCAGGTAAGACAAAAAAACTGGCAAAGTTTATGTTTCTGTCATGTGGTATAAGAATTTCATGCACTGTTCACAATACTGCAGCACTTAGTTAAACTACTGGTAATCTACTCACAAACAGGCAAGCCAACTTCCAGACAGCAACCAATGGCATCACATTACTGTTTCGCATTGTTACCGGAGAGGACTGGAACAAGATTATGCATGACTGTATGGTTGCACCTCCATTTTGCACTGAAGGGCTTAATTACTGGGATACTGACTGTGGTAACTTTACTGGCTCCCTCATCTTCTTCTGCTCCTTCTATGTTATCATCACGTACATTGTGCTGAATTTACTGGTTGGTACGTACAATTTAATTTATTTGTGATCTGAAGTGTGTTTTGCAATATTTATTACTGAATATATTCTGCTGTATATGCTGCTGTATATAGAAGCTGCAAATTTGGTCTGCATATGTGCCACTGTGTGTTCAATGTTGCTATTACTATAAATAGATAATTAAGAACTTTCATGCCATTGATTGCTACTCTTTGTTTTCTTGTAGCTATCATCATGGAGAACTTCTCTTTATTTTATTCCAATGAAGAAGATGCTTTACTTTCCTATGCTGATATCCGTAATTTTCAAAATACTTGGAATGTAGTTGATGTGAATCAGCGAGGTGTTATTCCTGTAAGAAAGGTAAGGACTTGTTTTTCCAGATTAATATTGCTGGAGTGTATTTGCCTTTACAAATAATTTCACTTACAATTCGGTTTTTGTATGTACCTTTGGTTCTAAGTACACTCTAAGAAGTTATTCATTATCAATATTTTATAACAGCCAGACATATTTTATACAATAAAAGCTAAAAGCCTTAAATTCAACATAAAAAAAAGAAAAAAAGTAATATACATAATTCTCAGTGCATCACAATACTGACCTTGAATGTATAAATTATTTCCTCTAATAAATCCTTGATGGTAATCATGTGTTCGTTCCCAACTTAGTAACCTTGACTCTTCATATAGCCTTCAGGATTAAGGTTAATTATATGACTTCCTGATCATTGCTGCTTCTTTAATTAAAATCTTGTATGGGAAAGCTGGTAGGTCATGCATATACAGAGGAAATGCAATGGAGGCTAAATATATTACTTTTAATACCCAAAATTAAGTTGCATCTTTCTGATTACATAACAAAAACAGAAAAAAGAAAAAAGAAAAAAGAAAGAAAAAAAAAGAGAAGCATTCAAGTAGGAAATTAAAAAAAAAAAAAAATCATTTTTATTATATTGATGTAAGTCTTCAGCCTCTTTTTAAAATTCCTTTAGTGGTTATATTAACACATCTTTTATGTCTTCTTAGGTGAAATTTATTCTGCGTCTTCTGAAAGGCAGACTGGAAGTAGATCCAGAAAAGGACAGATTACTTTTCAAACACATGTGCTATGAATTAGAACGCTTGCACAATGGAGATGATGTTACCTTCCATGATGTACTCAAGTAAGAGAAATAAGTACTATTTTTTGGGATGTAATAGATATATGAAATAATGCAAAGGCTGCCACTCAAAAGAGAGCACTTACCCTATCTTCATCTCTTTCAGCATGCTGTCATACAGGAGTGTAGATATCCGAAAATCACTCCAGCTTGAAGAACTGATGGCAAGAGAAGAGTTGGAATACATCATAGAAGAAGAAGTTGCAAAACAAACCATTAGGAACTGGCTTGATAACTGCCTCAAACGTATAAGAGCTGTATGTATATTTGAACGTTGTTATTATCTACTATTATTGAGTAGTATTAAATATATGCCTATTATATATTTTTATTCATAACTAAAAATTTTCCTACAGCAAAAGGAACAAACCTCATTACTTGCACGATTGCGAGAAACAAATGACTTCCTGATGGTTGAAGACAAGAAAGTTCCGCCATGTGATAAAGAAAGAGAAACTGAAAACAAGGTAAGGGCTTTGCTAATTGGAATTTGGGAAGGGGACTGATGTTTTAGAGAACCAGTCCATATCTCCTAGTAATATTTTTTTATTATGAATCAGTAAAATGTTCAAGAAAGGAAAGGTAATGTTGACTTCTTTTAATGTGACTGTCTCTAAATCTCCTAGGATGCTGATCGAACAAGGGAGAGAAAGAAAGGCATTATTATAATGTCCAGAACGGACTCAATGACAAGTATTAGTGGAAGGAATTTCTTAGCCCCAACTCCATCGGATGCTTCATCACGAGCTGAGAAACACACACGACATGATTCAAAATCAAGAAAGAGGCGGCTCTCTGGTAACTCTTTTCACATAGAGTGTTTAATTATACCTGCCAAAATTAAAAATGATGGCAGTTATCATGTTATGTTGCTTTTATGCCATTAATATTTATATAGTGTGTGCCTTTGAGAGATAAGGTATTGATAAAGTAAATTCGTTATTTCAGGTAGCAGTAAAAATCTTCCCCACGTTAGTGAAGGAGGAGAAGGGATTACAATAGTCAATGGAGGACAGCTGAGTAGTGACATTTCAAGTAACAAAGCGGTTCTTCCTCGCTCAGCCTCAGGATCTGGTGAAGTGAGAGACTGGTGGAGGCAGCAAGTTGATTATGATTCAGGGTCAGACTTCAGTGATGATATGGAATAAGGGAACAAAATGTTTGTAAATCTTATACTCCTTGATTATTACTATTTTTGTGACAGATCTTTGCACATACAGAGGCATAGACCAATTAACTCCCATGCACTTGTATAGTAAATTTGTAAACAGTGGAAACCTAAAATCAGTATATTAATAGAAGTTTATCTAGATTTGGTTTTGCGAAAGGGAAAGACAGATTTCATAAAAATTGTTTTCTGTTTTTTTGTTTTTTTCAGTGTTTACCCCATTTGTTTTTTATACAAATTAAGTTTCCTTTCTTAAATAGACGCTTTTTTTTTTTTACCTATTTTTTTTATTATACATCTGCCATTCAGGTCATACTATGCATTTTCATGTTTCACTGTCTTTCTACATGAAGAATCACCCAAGATATTTGTATATTTTAATGCCCCTGACCCGGGTTTGAGTTGCAGTTTCTGTTTTAATTTTGGTTGACAGGTGCACAGGAATCTGGTAATTTGTAGCTTTACACAGATTCAATCAACTTATCGTCAGAGCCCCTTAGTTTAAGATGTATCACAGAGTCTCAAGAATTCTCTGTGAAATGGAGATGCCAAAAGCACTAAGCTAAAAGTTGTTATCCTGCAGCATTTTGACTGCAGTCTCTTCTTATATGTTATATTGAGATTACCAAATTGATGGAAAAATGAAAAAAAAAGAAAAAAATAAATAAAATTTTGAATTTTTGCTCTGTTATCAAAATTCTATTACTTTTGTTTTTGAAATGTGTTTTTATTTTTATGATAATATAAAAATAAGATAATAGTCTGTGCAGCATTTATTTGATAGAGCCTTAAATGTACCTGAGTGGGTATTAGTTTGTTAGGAAATTTATTAGATAAATATGCCTATTTTAGGTTATATCTTGTTGAAAGTTGACCAAATAAAATTCTTCCCTAGCCATAGACTAGGTACTAGTAATCGAATGTTATACAATTTTAGAATGTATTTTATTATTGTTCAGAAGGGAATGGATAACTTAAATAATCCTCTATTATAGAATCTAAAATTCCATCCAGAGAATATTTAATTAGAGTATATATTTACATATAACAACCAACCAAGTATTTTATATAAAGCTTATTCATTTTTATCTTGTGCCACACAGAAAAAAGCTAGGTGGACTGATAGATAGATAAGCTGTGCAATCCAATATTCTCTACATATCTCTGCACACACACTTGCCAACTATAGTACAGGTGAACTCCAACCTTCTTGATTTACAAAGTGTTACAGAGAAGGCATAATCATTTTGGTTAATCATTAAATGCCCACGGGTAATTCTATATATTAGTTTATTGGTTTACAACACTGACATATTGCTAAGTCTATGTGTTAACATAATAACTATAAGTTTTTTGTTTTGTATTTATGAAGATCATATTAATTACATTTAAGATATTTAGGTTGACATCATGCAGATAAGGTCAGTGGAATAGTTTTAAGATACATTCCTTATGGAAAATGTTGCCTGAGCATTTTGTGGAGACCTGGTGATAATGGAAAAGAAAAGTTATAAAGAAATAAATTATTTCATTATCCTCTTTGAGTAATATTTCATGTTGAATTAAATGTATAACATTCAGAAAGACAGACAGACAGATAATTTACCATTATACATTAATGTACAGAGATGAATGTAGACACTGCAAATATGGCTCTTATTTTACTGTATGATGTAAAAAAATATATACAGATAGTCCCCTACTTAAGAACATTCTACTTATGAACATTCCATACATACAAACAAATTTTTTAAAGTACTAAAGTCCAAAAAATTGTTTGAATGATGCTAGCAAGCTTCAAATTTCCCGGACAACAATATAGTTCAAGAGTCTGGTACTGTATAAGATATGTCTTACTTATTGGGATTTATTTACAGGTATTCTTAATGTAAACAAAACTTTAAAACAATGGGAAAAAAGGTAATGGAGTACCGACTTTCGACATACAAACAAATCAACTTACAAACAGCCTCTCGGTCCCCATTATGTTCTTAAGTTGAGGACTTACTGTATATAGTTTTTAAAGACTAATGTTGCACTGTTTTAGGAGATCTGTACAGCCTGAAAGATTCCTCATAGTTTTTGCGATGTTTTATTACAGATTTCAGAAATTAGATAATTACCATATTTTAAAGACTCATCCCCATATATATATCCAGAAGAATGCTTATATTGCTCTTAATATATATGCACATCGATATATGAGTGTATGAAAGCTTTTGAGCTCATATTTTGGCGTTGTTGGTTGGAATATAGGCAAAAGAGCTGGGTAGGATGACCCAGCAAAGCTTAAGTAAGAATTAGTGTAGCTTAGACGGCGTCCGAGAAAGAGGAAAAGTGATAAAAGAAAGAAAAGGAGAAGCAGATAATGTAGTCACCAAGGAAAGTCCCTGCTGATGTGCCTGTTTGAGCAGTGCTAAAGTCCTGCTGATGCTCCTGCCACAGGAGTGACCTGGTAAACTCAGAGCAGAGGGTTCAGCAGATTCTCCAGGGACAAGAGTATGCAGACCAAGAGGACTGGAGCAGACAGAAAACAACTGAACATGTGTTGACACAAGGGTGATAATGTGGCTACATTTAAGCCTACGGAAAGATCAAGTGCTAGTGACCAGCGTGGGACAATAGTGTCTCACGGGAAAAAATAGTGGGTGTGTTTGATGATCATATTCATATTCATATATAGTTATGTACCTTAAGGGGATTGTCCCTCAAAATGATCGTGGCAGGCTAAATATGGGGGAGTGAAGGGGGGTAAATTTGTTTCATATCAATAAAATCCGAACGGTCTTAACGAGTTTCTTCAAAATTAGGTATTTTGTTCATTTTAGCATTATACATCTAATGTATAAAAATTGTGGAAATTCCCAGATGCCCCCCTCAATAAACTTTTTACGACATATGTCTCTTGTGTACTACTATTGGCCCACACTATTGCATACTTTGCAATGAAAAAAAATCAGCATAAACATTGATAAAATTTGGAGAGGAACTGTAGGAACGGAGTGCAGAGATTGAGCGACTGGTCCAAGACCTATGGAGGACTGGAAGAACAGTGGCTTGCAGAGATGCCTGTTCAACACGTTCTCACTGCCATTAATGACTTCCATGCAGTGATGTATATCCGACAGGGAAATTCATCCACCTTGTCCAGGGCCCTAGCAAAGGCTTTAGAATATGAATAATTGGTTGCAGTGATACCCAGGGACTAGGGAGAAAGAGAGAGGGGGAGATTACAGAGTAGAGTGTTGGTATCCAGTCAAAATAGGAAACCCTCCCCCAGTTGGAACAAAAAGAGGGTAAGAGTGCAACACAGTAGCAAAGTCCAGGAATGTTACAACTGTAAAAACTCTGGATCTTTTTAACCGTGAATGTCCCAGCAGGAGGTGCTGGGAATGTGGAGAGAAGAGACAGCTAGTCTGAAACTATGAATGCACAAGCAGCTCTTCGGGAAACAAAGAGGTGTTGGGAGCAGATACCAACAAGGAAGGGGAGACAGAACGAATCCAAGGAGGGAGATGTTACAGAGTAGGAAAGAGGGTGATCCTGCTGAATGGGAACGATTGTACCCCGACAGTGGACACTAGAGCAGAGAAGACTTTGTGAGGAAGGGACTCATCCTCAGGCAGTTGCCTGTGTGTGGCCCAACAGGTGTGTGGGGAACTTTAAGTCACATTCCCTGTGCTGGTAGCACATGAGTGTCTCTTAAGTCTGGACTTCTTGGATGAGTTTGGGGTGTGTTTGAACATGGGAAACAAAGTTTTGCAGCTACCAGGGGTGGAAGTACCTCTGGCGACCCCTAATGTCCATGCCATTGCCCTTAGGAGAGTGAAGGTTGCCCCATGATTTGAGGCTCGAGTACCTTGCAAAGTTGGAGGCAGATTAAGTGGGAGATATAGCATGGTGGAACACCCTGAAAAACAGATATAATAATTATAATAATAATGATAATAATAAGTTTGTAAGTATGGATAATCAATGTCCAGACCAACCTATATATGTGGAGCAGAACATGGTGCTTGGGTCTTGTGAAGAGGTGGTACAGATATCTCCTGAGGAGAAGGCAATTGTATGCCTTGCAAGACAAGGTGCAGTTGAGACGAAAAGCAATGAAGAGGCAAGAGGTGCCAGAGTATCTGCAAGACCTACTACAGAGGAGTAGCCAGAGTCATTCTGCAAGAAAGGAAAAGGTCCTAGAAGAGCTGCTATGCAGATATATAGATGTGTTTTCAAAAGATGAAGGTGAACTGGGATGCACAAATATGATCCCACATCACATCCACACTGGTAATGCAGCCCCTAATAAACAACCTCCAAGAAGGATCTCTCCAGCCCGGCGGAAAGAATTGGAGTCAGAGGTGAAGAAACTTGAGGAGCATGTTCAGAAAAAGGATGTCACACTACCATGTTGCATCGATTACCGTGCTCTCAACGATGTAACAACTAAAGATTTATATCCGCTACAAGAGTGGATGACACACTGGATGCGTTAACATAAGTGAGGTGGCTCTCATCCCTTGACCAGAAGTCAGGTATTCATCAAGTGAAGATGGCTTCAGAGGATAAAGAGAAGACAACATTCACATTTGACCAAGGCCTTTGCAGTATAAAGTGATGCCATTTGGACTTTGCAACTCGCCGGCCACAGTTGAGTGACTGATGGAGCAAGTGCTAGAGGGCTTACTGAAAAAAAAAAAAACATTAGTGGTGTATTTGGATAACATTTTTGTTTTCGGCCAGACGTTCTGACAGTAAGTGAAGAGATGTCTTTGAGAGAATGAGAAAGTGTAAAGAAGTGCACCCTTCTTAGGCCATGTAATAGGCTGTGATGGTATGAGGGCAGACCCAAATAAGATAGAGGCAGTAAAGGAATGGCCAGTTCTCTGGAATGTGACCGAGTTGTGGAACTTCTTAGGACTCTACACATATTACCGCCATTTTGTCCAGAACTTTGCCAGCATTGCATCACCACTGCACAAGTTGACAGGCAAGTAAGTGAAGTATAATTGTAGCTCAGAGTGTAAGAGAGCATTCAAAAGGCTAAAGGATGCACTGATAAGTACTACTATCCTGTGTTACCCAGATCCCGAAAAACTAGATTTGCTGGACACAGATGCAATTTGTGAAGGCCTAGGGGCTCTGCTCTCACAGGAGGTGGATGGTATGGAACTACCCGTAGCCTTCTTTAGCTGCAAGTTAACTTCACCTGAGAAGAAATACTGTGTGACAAGGACGGAGCTACTAGCAGTAGTGAAGGCCCTGAAGCACTTTCACTCTTACCTGTATGGGGCTGAGTTCCAAATCAGGACAGATCATGCAGCACTAAGGTGGCTAAAGCATCTGGAGAATATGAAAGGACAGTTAGCTAGGTGGCTTGGCCAGCTAGGCCATGTGAGGAAGAATGTGCATATTGCAGGAAACACGATACAGTGGTGTGTGGACAAGGTGCTGAATTTAAAGATGATTTCGCAGATGACGATCCTACAACAAAGGACCCAAAAGGAGATCCAGTTTCTGATGAGCCTAAGGAAGTAAATGAGTGGGCCTGTTACCAATGCCAAGATCATGACCTGTGATAGAGGGGTTAGAAAGTATATTGGAGGAGAGTCCAATCACTAGGCGTTTTTGGAATCATTAGACCATTTTGAGAATTTGGCGATGACGGAATATTGGTCAAGCTGTGAGTAGCCAATGAGGGGTATGCCCGCTTTTGAAAGACAGTTTTCCCACAAGACCATGAGGAGGAAGTACTCAGAGAAGCACATGATGGAGCTGGAGGTGGTCACTTGGGAATAAAGAGGATACTGGGCAAACTCTGACAGAGGTTCTATTGGGTAGAGACGAGACATACTGTAGAGGAGTGTTGTAAATCCTGTGATGCCTGTAATGCTAAGAAAGGCCCACATAGTAGGAGTCGTGCACCCCTGCAGCAACATCGTGTAGGTAAACCACTAGACAGGCTTGCGGTTGACGTTGTATGACGATTCCCTTCAACACCTAGGGGAAATAAGTTTGTGCTGGTGTGCAGGGATTACTTTACAAAGTGGCCTGAGACCTTTGCACTCCCCAACCATGAGGCAAAGACAGTGGCAAAAGTGTTGGTCGTGTCTGTTTTTTTTCTTGTATCAGCGTACCTGATGAACCGCACTCTGATCAGGGCCATGAATTTGAGAGTGCAGTGTTCCAAGAATGCTGGAAGCTTTTGGACATACACCCCCAAAGCAAAAGATGTTGGAATGGTGCTAGTGCTAGTGGCCAGTGCGCGACAGTAGGCTAGTGTCTCACGGGAAAAGTTGCGGGTGTATTTGATGATCGTGCCCACGAATTCATATATAGTTGTGTAGCTTATTATGAAGAGGAAATAACCATAATAGATCATCTATATTTGTGTACTTTATGTACATTGGACCTGAAATGAAAGTGCCAGTAGGTATTTTATCAGGTTCTTCTAATCAGAATTTAAAAAAAGAACAGTATATTTATCCATTTTATTCACATTATCCGC